TAAAGATGTAGGTCAATTAAATGATAAAACATGAGGTAAATTTCTCCTTTTTAATTTATTTGGTGCATTTTAAATGTATTTATTTTTTTAACGGTTCATTTATCTATTTCTGTTTTTATTTCTAATTATGTCAGTGTCGGTGCTCCATACTGCAGAACATGAAGAGGTAGTTCAGTGACTGAATCAGGTGTGTTGGAGCAGGAAACGTAAAACATGTAGGACACTCCTGGTATAAAAAGAATGAAGAACCTTCTGGCAGCCTGGTTCAGCACCTGCAGCTCCAAAGGTCAAAGGTCACAACATGAAGTGAGGAGAAACGACTCAACTCTGCTTCAGTTTCATCAAAGCTTCCCGAGTTCAGCAGGAAGCTCAGTTTTATCTTTAAATGATTTAATAGTTTGTTGTTTTCAGTAAAACTCCTCGTCAACGTGAATAAATCCAGTTTCTGACTGGATGTTTGCTGATCTGAGCGTCCAGGCCCGGTTCTGCAGCCCGCTTATCACCTCCTTCCTGCCATTGTTCTGAAGCTTGCCGTTTGACCTTTGACCCCGCCCCCCGCTCGTTCACCCCTCTGCCCGTCGGGTCCGTCTGAGCTGGAACAGGAAAACACAAGTCAGCTTTCAGAGCGGGTCCAGTCAGCTGACGAGGAAATCCGTCCAAATTCTCCGGAACACTTCCTGTCAGAGAAAGAAGGAGTTCCTCAGGGTCTCTGGAACCTTTAGTTCCACATCCACCCGTCTGTTCGGGTCCAACCATTCCTGTGAAGAAACAACAGGAGGTTCTGATGGTACCACAGGTTCTGATGGATGGTTCTGCAGGAGTTAGGAAGAACCTTTGCTTCCTGCTCAGATTCAATGAGAGTTTAGGGGATGTGACCTTTGACCTCTGAGAGGAAACCAGCAGTTCTACAGCACAGAGACACAAACAGCGACGTTTGTTTCAAACATGCTGGAGAGTTTAAACAGTGTGTCTGTTAGCAAAACATCTGTTAGCAAAACATCTGTTAGCAAAACATCTGTGAGCAAAACATCTGTTAGCAAAACACCTGTTAGCAAAACATCTGTTAGCAAAACATCTGTTAGCAAAACACCTGTTAGCAAAACATCTGTTAACAAAACATCTGTTAGCAAAACATCTGTTAGCAAAATATCTGTTAGCAAAATATCTGTTAGCAAAATATGTTAGCAAAGCATCTGTTAGCAAACCATCTGTTAGCAAAACATCTGTTAGCAAAATATGTTAGCAAAACATCTGTTAGCAAAATATCTGTTAGCAAAATATGTTAGCAAAACATCTGTTAGCAAAA